ATAATAATAACAATGATAATAATAACAATAATAATTGATAATATTATTACTGCTGCTACTACTACTACTACTACTACTACTAATTATAATCATGAACATCACAATAATAATAACAAGAATAATTATAATAACAATAATAATTATTATAATAGGGCCTCCATTATAATAGAAGTATCATAAGGAACCCTCAGGGCTCGTATATTTCTTGCGGCTTCTACAGTAGCAACATAACAAAAACTACGCGCCTGCATGAAAAAAACAATATGCACACAATTCAACACAACACCCGAGGCACACACAAACAACAAGGGGATGCCCGGTTGTCTGCAGTTAAAGAAAGACCGGGCTTAGGCATTCTATGCTAAAATACGGAGAGGTCTGCACAAAGACTTGCTCCCTGGAGCCATCCCTGCACATGTGCTTGCAGCCTGTGCTAGTTACCAGTGCAGGTATTTCAGAACCTGAAGAGTCTACATACCAACAACACCGATATCTTGGCCCCTAGATGTATACATGGGTAGTTCTTTAAATTAGGGTCCCTGTTTAGGTCCCCAACAGCGTACCCTCAAAGGCACCCTAATTTAGAGAGCTACCCAAATCTTAAACTGAGACGTAACCCCGTCTGACTGGGCGGGCCTGCTTGGCCAAAGGCATCTGCGGCATCATGGCTGGCAGCTCCGCGCCGCAGCTTTGACCAAGTACTTGGGACGATAAATCGATTGAAGTTGGCAGGTTCTTTTAGAAGCAGGTAGCTAACAGCTTGTGCCTTCAGGGTCTTTCCGGCCCTTCATGTGTTGGCAAGCTTTGAGCCAATGAAAATGTCAAGAAAACAAACAGTCAGAGTGCTTGCACCACAAATTCCATGAAGAGCAGTAGACCGCTTACAAGCTCCTTTATCAAGCATCCACAGGCGTGTATCACATGCTTTCCTCTGGCGGCTACGATTCTACATGCAAAGACACACAGTCACGCACACTGACAAAAACACTGAGCCTATGTACTTGACTTCGCCGATGTATTGCTCGTTGTCCCCGATGTGCACCTGGTCATCTGCCGGTGGCTAGAGGTCTAGGAGTCCAAAATAATGTTGACGCCTAAGTTGGCATTGTTGCAGCAGGCCCTACACCCTAAACCCCAAACCCTAAACCCTACACCCTAGCTAAACCCTAAACCCTAAACCCTAAACCCTAAACCCTAAACCCAAACTAAACCCTAAACCCTAAACCCTAAACCCCAAACCCTCCCTCCTTCCCGCCAACAAAAAGCACCCTATACCAGCCCCCAACACCCTGTTCAAGCCACCCGTCGAGACCCTCAACCCTAGATCCGAAACCCTGCACCCTAAACCCAAAACCCTCTTATACACCCTCAACCCTAAACCCTACATCCGAAACCCTACTCCCCAAACCCTACCTCCGAAACCCTACACCCTACACCCCAAACCCTACATCCGAAGCCCTACTAAGCCCCCAGAAGAAGAACTCGCAGACATGCCCCTAAACCCTAAACCCTAAACCCGCCAAAACTCCAAGGCCGACTCTGACTGGACCCTGCCCCTCGGCTCTTTGTGGATTTCGCCCCCCCCCCTTTCTTTGCCATCGGCTTCTGCCTTTTTTTTGGGGAGGGTCTTTTTTTCTTGGGGGTTTTATGGGGTAGTAGTTAAGGGTTTAGGGATTTTAGGAGGTTTGGGGTGTCGCTTTTTCGAGGGTCTTATGGTGTAAAAAGTAAAGGGGTATGGGGTTTGGGGAGGTTTGGACCTACAGAATGCTAGAGTCAAGGGCTAAGGGCTTCACAGCTTTCGGGGTTGAAGCTTCGGGCGCCCTGGGGTTTTTGGATTTTTGCAGAGGGCTCGATTTCTGGGTGGGCATTCGGTATGGCTGGCTGAAGGACCCTAGACTGTGGGAATTATGGTATCTTCCTTATCCTGGGGGTGTTGCAGGATTTATATCATCAGCCGTATGTGCGGTTGTGGCGGCGATGTCCCGACATGAAGCGACGACTCCCAGAGGCCCGATGCTCTGTAAAGTTCGGGCCTCCCCGAAGGGATCACTTCCGAGCTCTCTGCACTCAATCCCATCCTCTCGGGCCCATTTACGAGGAGGTTAGGGTTGAGGGTTGAGGGTTTAGGGTTTAGGGTTTAGGGGCTTTTGGGCTTCAATTGTGTACTGGGCGGTTGGGATTGCCAGGGAAGAAGGGCTCAGCGGCATGAGCTGTGGGCTCCTCGAACATTTACTCTACATCTTCGCAGGAAGCGATGCCAAAGGCGGTCGTAGTTCTGTATCGTTTCGTAAAGCATGACCTATCATGACCTGCATCAGATCTGTAGCTACATAGGTCTAGACGTACGGCGTAGTATGCTGGGCCGATGTTCGGAGGAACGACTTCGGGCAGTTCGTCCAGTTTGCTTCTGTCGAGCTCCGAAGTGACTTGACGAATGTTTAGGGCTTAGGGTTTAGGGTTTAGGGTTTAGGGTTAGTTTCGAAGCGTACGCTGCCGGAGTGATTGGGGTTCGTATTGGGCGAAGAAATGCAGGCACCTAACATGCCTTCATACCGACAAGGAAAATGTTCTTAAGGCTCTTGGCTTTCGAAGTCACCCAGCTTTTTTTGGGGTTTGGGGATTGTAGGTGTGCTTGGATACAGGCCAGAAACCAGAACAATTTTACCATGAAGACCTTTATCCCAAGACATTGTTGGGTATTCTTGGGTGGCGCCACCTTCAGAGTCCCCCGGCAGATACACGGAATATACCTGCTGCTAACCCCCCTCAACACGGAAGCCCAAACTCACGCGAACCCTAAACCCTAAACCCTACACCTTAAACCCAAAACCCCGAGTCCTAAACTAAACGCTGAACCCCAAACCCTAAACACTAAACCCTAAACCCTAACACGCCGAAGTCTGGATCCCACCATCCCAACGGCCTGATCTCGTCATCTAAGCCTCTAGAGCCCCGCAGCCGAAATGCTGTGGACCCATGGCTTCGTAAACGCTTCTTCTTTGAGGCCCCACCATGAATTAGGATCCCTAGGAAGATCCCTAGAGAGGGGAGGAGTTTACGGATCTGAGCTCCCTTCAACCCTACAGCGAGCCTTCCATCCCTGTGGGCGCTAACTCTAGCCTTGCCAGGATACCGCGCCAACATGAGAGAGACGGAGCTGACTGTGGAGCGGCGAATGGAGGCCGGCATTTCAATAATATCGAAGCTTGCCATGGATCAACCCTCTAAACCCTAAGCCCTAAAACCCTCAGCCCAAGAAATGTGCATGTGAATTCACATGCGTCTGCCTTGCCCGCAGGAAGGCCCCGGAAACTTCTTCCCTAACCAGAAGCCCTAGCTACAGGATCATGGGACTTGGTTAACTACAGCGTTGTGCAGAAGGTAACGAAACATGGAAGTACTCATAAGTCCCATTGAACGAATCATAGGCTTGCTTCCGAGATTCCCCGATGCTCCATGTAACCTTGTCAGACCCTTGCAGCCTAAGCCCAAATCTCTAAACCCAATAGACGTCCGCTAGGCCGAGCTGACTCGGCAGAAGTCGGAGTTCTGGAAGTGCAGCAGGGATGCAGAAATTGTAAGGCTTTGGGGCTTAGAGGCTTAGGGTTGAAGCTTTGGGGATTTTGGGGGTTTTTCTAGGACTTTTTTCAGGTGGGTAGTTACCGTTATAGGAACCTTTTTAAAAGAAGGTCTATATACCTTAGAGAAGCCTAAAACCCTAAACCCAGCTGTAGTTTCCTTTAAGTTTGGGGGTTTTGGGGGGGCTTTCAACCCTGAGAGTTGCCGGAGTTGGTCCTTCACCGGCTGGCCGGTTCTCAGGTTTCTTTTCCGAAGGGTTACCTTAACCTACCAAAACCTACTTTTCTGTAGGTTCTTATCATAAACCCCAATATTATGGAATTCATAAGGACCCTACAAAAAAGGTAGGTTCTGGTGGGTTAGGGTAGGGTTTGGGGTTTAGGGCAACCTACGGTTCACGGTTGTCAGGGCGGGGCCGTGGCAAACCCTCGACCCTAGGCCCCGGAACCCTAAAGCCTAAACCGCTGCGGGTCTTGGAAGCTTTGTGGGAAGGACGAGCCTTAGAGTGTAGGAAAAGAGCCGTACAGCAGCCATGTCTGTGGGCTGAGGTTATCATGATCCCCAAAGATCTATTCTAATTGTAAAGTCTTGCAAAGAGGCCCTCAGGTATCATGGGTTAGGGGTTTAGGGTTTTGCTTTAAGTTATTAAGGTTTAGGGTTTGGGGTTTAGGGGTCGGGTTTGGGCTTTCCCCTTCGGCGGTTTAGAATTTCGGGCTACTGTCAAGGTTCAGGCTTTAGGCTTCAGGGTTCAGGGGTTGGGGTTTAGGAGTTGGGCTCCAAAGTATCACCCTGCCCTCAACCCAGGCTTGGACCCTATAAACCCTAAACCGACCCGAAACCGAGGCATATCTGGCTGCCCTGCCCGATGCCCTGGCTGTGGCACCAAGTGCCCCTTAGACACATGGACTTGCGGAACTCGCTAGGAGGGAAATGGGACGTGGTGCCGTAAAGGCTTCCTTACCGGGCTCGGTCCCCTAAAACCAGGTCTTGAAGATGGCGAAAGCGAAAGATCAGGGGACCTCGCAATAGAAGCTGAGTATAGTTGTCATCGCTTAGGAGTTATTATCACCCCAATCAGGGCACGTGTAAGCTTGCTTACGAAGTCTCCTGGCTTTCTAAGTAGACACCTGGACTGTTATTTGTAGGTCTCTATTGCTTGTATAAGCCCTCCTCAGCACGTGCAAGGGTGACAGCGGGACATCTTCATTCTCTACTTCGGTTAAGTTGAAGCTCACTTGGGCTCATTTGAGGTTTTCTGATGCGTCACTGCTCAGCCCGCGAGGCCCTAAAGTCCCGCCCGACCACAGTTCAAGCATTTACAGAGGCTTCAGGGTTAGAGCTCAACGCTAAGCGCATCATTCAGGATCCAGAGCAGCCCTAAACCCTAAACCCTAAACTCTAAACCTTAAACCCTAAACCCTAAACCTAAACCCTACACCCTAAACCCCAAACCCTAAACCCTAAACCAACTTGGGGACCCCGCTTCGACTCTCAAGATTCGGACTCTCATACTCAACTTAGGCCTGGATAAATGCCCTATACCTGTAGGGTTTAGGGTTTAGGGTGTAGGGTTTAGGGTTTAGGGTGTAGGGTTTAGGGTTTAAGGTTTAGGGTTTATTGTTTAGGGTTTCTCCCACCCGAATTTAGCAGGTTGGCCATTTTGGGCTAGGGGACTCAGCCCATAAGTGAAAGATCATCGGGCGTCCTAGCCAGGGTTCTAAACAAGGAAGCGACCCTTGTAGTCACTTGCTAGGACCCAGAGTAGGCCCTTATTCCCTTTTTCAGGCTTCAGGTTCCCTTATAAAGTCCTTTAAACTGCAAAGGGCACCCTTTTGATTCCTAGGTTTCTCTTGGGTCTAGCTTGTCACTCGACTTAAGGTACATGAAAATCTTGCTTAGTGAATCCCCTTAGTCTCCAGGAAGCCCTGGGAGGAGCTTAGCAGCTCGTCGATGTGTATGCTATACAACTCTGAGCTCGTTCGAGCGTGGCGAATCAAGGAGAGAGGGTGCATGAAGCCCATTTGAAGTGCCGATTGCTTAGCGAGCCCTGAGCCTGGAAGCTGTAGACATCTTTTTCAATCCTCAACTTTCAACGCAGACCTAAGCCTAAGTCAACCCTAAATCCTAAATCCTACCACCCCCTACATCCCAAAGCCTTAAACCATAAATCCTAAATCTTGCAACCCTAAACTATATCTCAGGCAATCTGGAGCACGAGAACCACTGGCCGGAGAGGCTTCCGAGATTGGCTCGGTGTTCCAGCTTTCAGGCTGTACTTGGAGGGTCAGGGGACTTAGTAAGTAGGTAATAAGTAGACTTATAAGCACCCTAAATGGGGTCCTAATTGGGGCTCTGATACTTATAAGTCTATAAAGTAAGTACTTGCTAAGTCCCCCGACCCTCCAAGTAAGGGTTCAGAGTTGAAGGTTTTTTGTTCAAGGGACTAAAGGCGAGACCCTTAAAGGGACCCTTGGGGTTATATAGGGGCTTTATGAGACTAGATTAAGCGGTATATAAGAGTTATATAGGGTTATCAGGATTAGGGGTCCCTTCTAGGGGTCCTTCCTATTGTCCCTTACTTTGTGCCTTCTGTTCGAGTCCTTGCGAGAGAGGTGACCCAAGACTTTGTACGCGAAATATTACCTATGTGAGCAGTCTCCCGTCAAGAAAGCCAGGCATGATTCAGGCCGGATATCTACATCTTTCTGCGCCATTCCGGATCGCCCAGCATTCCCCCTAAACCCTAAACCCTTAACCGCAAGTTCGGCTTGTGCATGCCTATAGAGTACCTGCTTTCGCCCTGGCTGACCTGCTCCTGAGAGGCCACACGAGTGCCGCCGGCACGTCTATCCCGCCTTCAACGGCTGGCAGAAGCAGGCAGTTGAGGGTTTTGTATCCTAAACACTAAACCCTAAACCCCAAAACCTTAAACCGTATTTAGGGTTTAGTGTCTCAACTCTAGCTCCAAGACCATGTCCGGAGGATGGCCGAAAGCCCTTCCTCCTCCACTGCCGCGCCGCCTGGGCAGATTTTTTGCGGACATCGTCGCTGGAGAGTTTAGGGTTTGGGGTTTAGGGTTTAGGGTGTAGGGTTTAGCTTCAGGATATAGAGTCTGTTGAAACTACACCTGAAAATGCAGAATGTCTGAGTCTCCAACACCATGCTTCTCGGTTCTTATGAAGCACTTTTCTCTCAACGTCTGTCCCTGTGATTACATTGGGCCGGCATTGGGTAAATTCTGCATGTTTCCATGGACAAACATGGAAGTTCAGAATCAGAGGTACAGTCGGTATTTGGGACAGTAGGGCCCTACGAAGGAGGTACACAGGGTTTCGTTCAGTCGTGGCCTTTGCTGGGGTCCTTGCACGGCTTGCAGATGAGGTGAGGGTGTAGGGTTTAGGGTTCTGGGATCATGTCATTGGTTTGGCACATTCACAATAGCTCATCCAGCGCCGTTCATACTTAATGTAATTACTACTCGGTTAAGTTTTTGAAATTTAAGCTTTTAAGTTCCAGTGGGCAAGCCCACGATCCATACAGCACCTCGAGCACCCCAAGGCTATGGGGCCCCAGGCTGTCGGCAAAGCCCTACACAAGGGCCTAAGTCGAAAATCCGCGAGACTTCATCCTCGAATTCTGAACCCTCAAACCTACATAGACCCTGAACCAGAAGTGCGCTGAGGAGTTCGAACAACTACCTACCCCAACGCGTACATCCCTTAGTTTTCGCAGGTGGGTGCTAAGATTTTGCGATTGAGCCGTACGGTCCTCATGGTCCACGCCCTAAACCCAAAACCCGAAACCCGACACCCTAAACCCTAAACCTTAAACCCCTAACCCTAAAACCCTAAACCCGAAACCCCAAGCCTAAACCCCCGGATCGTAAACTTTGGCTCAAGTCTTCGGAGCCATGGGTTTGGGCCGGTTTGGGGTTCGGGGCAGGGAGCTCTATCTTCGAGGGCTTCGGTTTCCGTTTTGGGGTTGGGTTTGGGGGTTTGTCAGGTTTTGGGGCTGAGGGGGTAGAGTTTGCCACAGGCCCTCGCCCTTAGCATCAGAATCGCCCAAAAGCCTTGTACAATAGGGTCTTTGGGCCCAGAAGCCTTAACAAAAATGAGTCCTTGGAGGGTAAGGGTAATGCTTGCTAGAACCAGTCTCCCACAACGGACCTGAACCCTAAACTCTAAACCAAGCTCTACCCCAGGGCCTCCGTAGCTCAAACTCTTTCTACACCCCACCCTCCCCCCAAATGCCGCACGAACAAACGACGCCCCCGGGAACCCGATGCCCTTTGTACTACGGTTTACGGTTCCGGGTCGGTTTAGGGTTTAGGG